ATAGCAAGCAAGACGGGGCGGAAAAAATGTACACCTATAGTAAGCAACACGTCTATTCATAACAGTTACAGGTCCATTGAAGGTTTTGAATTGCAAAGATCTGTTGAGCTCTGCTACTGCGCCCGTTATCCTGAGATACAAAGTTGATACGGTGTAAATGGCAAGGCGTCGAAACTTGTCTCGTCATATCTCAACGGTAGAATTCAAAAAGTAGACATAAATGGAGTGACTTCTTTGGGTTCTCCGGTAAAAATGAGTGTTTCGCAGGGCTCAATACTTGGACCTTTCTTATTTATGATTTATATTAATGATCTGCAATTCCTTGTTAAGGACTATTGCGAAATAGTGTTGTTTGCTGATGACACATCCTTGATTTTTAAAACAGACAGACATGACATTAACTATGACCATATTAATGATATCCTCTCTAAGGTAGTTTCTTGGTTTAATGCTAAAAATGTATTGCTTAATGCCAAGAAGACAAAATGTGTTAAATTTGAATTACCTAACGTAAAATCGACTAGTCCAAGCATAGAAATAAACGGAGAAAAGTTAGACCTTGTTAATAAAGCAGTCTTCTTGGGAGTGACCTTAGATAATAAACTTGAATGGTTTCCACATATATCTTCCCTGGTCAGCAGATTAAGCTCCGCTGCATACGCAGTCCGCAGAATACGCTAGCTTACCGATGTTAGTACTGCTAGACTAGTTTACTTTAGTTACTTCCATAGTATAATGTCCTACGGGATTCTCATGTGGGGTAAAGCGGCAGATATTCAAACCATATTTGTATTGCAAAGACGAGCGATTCGTTCTGTGTACCGTTTAGGCTCTCGGGTTTCTCTCAGAGAAAAGTTTAAGGAGACTGGTATCATGACTGTGGCATCACAGTACATTTACTCAAATATTTTATATGCCCGTAAAAATATACATAATTTCAATAAGAAAGAAGATATCCATAATATTAACCTTAGAACTAAATCCAAACTCATGGTACCACGATTTCGTTTAACCAAGGTAAACAACTCTTTTATGGGGAACTGTATACGTTTTTACAATAAGATTCCGGAGCATATATTAAGTTTATCAGAATGTTTTAAATGAATGAGGCTTAGAGAGCCCTAGGTAATGATAAATCTAAGAAGCTTTTCGTTTTAGTTGTACTGGTCCATAACCGCTACTATCTTCCCTGGCCAGCAGATTAAGCTCCGCTGCATACGCAGTCCGCAAAATACGTGAGCTTACCGATGTTAGTACTGCTAGACTAGTTTACTTTAGTTACTTCCATAGTATAATGTCCTACAGGATTCTCATGTGGGGTAAAGCGTATATTATCATTTCCTAAGTTTAAAAACTACATTAAAAATATTTGGATCGAAAAATCATATTACAAAATTGAAGACTACGTGTTAGATAAAGATGTATGGAAAGACGACACGGCTCCAGAATCCACACAAATTTGATTCAAAGTATATTCCACAGCATTTAAGTTTATTTGAAAAGAGCAATCCCTAGAGTTTCTTGCTCGTTCTTCTCAGGGAGGTCAGCGTAGTGAACGAGCAATAGCTTAAATGTGACGTTTTTAAGTGTAAATTTATTTTACCTATGGAATAAATAATCTTTGACTTTGACTTTTACAAGTCCCGTGTACCCGTAATTTCGCCAAAACCCTAAAGACAATTTTTTTTGGATCTAAATTGTGTACGTTTTTTTCAAACAAAATTACAGTCTCATGGTCATGGTCAAATATGATTTACTTTCTAGAAATCATCTTAGAAACCACAAGAAGGTAATTTGTTTTGCACATTGCTTTTTGCGCAAGTGTAATTCTGGGATTGCTCATGTCACATTACAACTTCAGAAGAATACAATAATGCACCATTCAAAAGACAAATGCACTAATGCTCATATTATAATTTTATTAATTCAAAGATAGAACACAGAGAAATGTTCCTTCGCTTTGACAGGACTCGAACATTTTATGAAAACCAAATTCTCAGAATTACTTGGCTGTAAAAATACGCATACTGGTATACATGGCATTCACTTAATTTAATATTCTTACTTGAAAGGCTTTAAAGTATACCCTGTCGATTGGCATCATATAAATACAAGTTGTTTTTTTCACATTTAGTCGGTTCGATTCCCAGATGATGCAAGCAATTTTTTAAGTCTGAATAGTGTTAGTTATTTTTAAAAACAAAATAACGTCACCATAAAGCCTATTTCTTACCTTACCTATTTCTGCCGCCAAGCAGTAATGTGACCATTACTGCGTTTCGGTTTCGGATGAACTCTTTCACAAAGGATACCGCGGGTGCCATAGACAGACACATGGACAACCACAAATTACACCCAAACTCACAAGAGAAATAAACGTAGGGCATCATTGACTTACAATTATATGGACGTCGGGTCCGCGCTAAAAAGTAACCGAACCTATAGGGCGTTAAAATCGTATAAAGAGCGTCATTCACGCTTTAGTCTTCGTTTGTTCGACTGACTGCGAAGCAAGCAAAATTAGACAGTACTGCGATGACATTACAATTTAAATTCAACGTTTTAGCTTTTTCATATTCCTTTACATGTCACTACGTTTAAATAGGTTGACTTGGGACATTTTTTTTGTGGTTTTTGTATTAGACCCGTCGTCCATTTGTTTGTAAGTCAATGTAGGGCATATAAATATTACTACGTACTAAATGTAGCACCATTTACTATAGGTATTTTATGACATTACATTTTTTTTTTCAAATAAATCATTTGGTTAATTAGGTGGAGATGAAACTCAGAGTCGCCTTCACAAATTATAGACCACATCTAAATGTGAAAACATTTCTGAAGCATTGTCAGTTATTTTTCGTCAAGTTTTCATGAAACAAATGATTCGCTTCTTCACCTTCGGAAATAAGTATCTTCATTTTCTTGACAAGCTCATCGACGCTATAGGTGTAGTCATGTTCAACCAGTTCAGAAAGAGGTATTTGTTGAACAAATACATATATCATGTTTCAGGGAGAATAAAGACTTTTATGATGACTGTGTTTTAATATTTCAACCCTTCCAGTGATCGGATTGACTTGAAATCTAGTAGGTTAATGAAACTACGATGACAGTATAATAAATCATTAATACTGTAATTGTAGCATGTAGCTACGTATACGCACACGCATGCGTAGCTAATATCAATTAATATTTGCGTATAGTAAAACCTTATGCGTATTTGGTAACAAATGTGTGCATGTAAAAGTCAGCTACTCTAGTTCCCGAAGAAATTGCTTCAAATTCCGTTTCCATATACTCCTAATTATAGCAAGTATAAAGCAATGCCTTGTTCAATATTCCGCTAGTTATGAAACATAATGTTGATATAAATTAAATGTCACATCCCTATCTGTAGGTTGTCAACTTTTTGCTTTTGTTCCAAGAAGTTTATGTTCATAGGATTCCTAGCTTTTATGTGACTAGTAATAATAAAACCTTATTAGATCCAAATAAGTTTCAATTTTTTTTTACCAAAATATTTTTATTATTGTCTATTTTCGTTTGATAATTTATAACCAATCAAAATTATGTTATCTTAGTACTAATGTAAGATTACGTTTTCAAATGTGTGCGTGTGGCGACACCGGTTTTGATACAAATGTTGCTTGATACCATTTCCATTCTTTTCTTACTTCCGTGGTCAGGTCACTGACTTGTTTATTTACTTTTTGTTTAAATGGATTGAAATTAAGTATATAGATACAGGTATATAGATATTGTATCGACTTTTAAGCAGGGGTAGTTAAATAAAACAGATTGGTTTGTTTGACATTAATCAATTATAATTTACAGTCATCTTAACCTAAATCTAAACTAAAACAGTATAAAATGAAACTTACGCCAAAACGTAGATAATATTCGGAATAAATAACTTAAAAAAATAATATCAAGTTAAAGTTTGAGCAGGTTATCCTAACTGGTTTTACTAGAACTTGAATATTGTCTCACTTCATTATTAACTTACAAGAAAACGGGAAAAGGAACAAAGCAATGCTATAGCACCTAATTAATTCCTACAACGCTTAATAGTTCACTGATATAAGTGGTATTTGATGAAGCAATCTGTATTTTGTGAAATAATCAACTCTGGGTAATCTAGAATTTTAATTTAACTAGAATTATTTAATTAGAATAGTGTATCTAGAAAATACTAAAATGACAATGAATGGGTAACCTATCACAAATTCGAATTTTTTTATCCGAAATAACGTTTTTTCGAATTGTCATTACACCGAAAACAGAATTATAACGAAACCGTTGTTCTTTCAGGATATGTTGGATGTTTATTGCAAAGATGCGCTTAGGCTGGGTTAGGTTAGATTAGGTTTTAAAAGAAAAAAACATTTTCCTCTCAAAATTACTTTCGAGGTTATGAAAATTCGAGCAAACGCTATTTCTGGTAAATGTCACTTCGGACAGTAGTCCGAACTCTGTTTACTATCAGTAGATAGGTAACCCAATGAATGATATGTAAGCATGATAATGGTTGTTTATAGTATAACTAATCTATAACTAATTAAGTTTTAACTTAACTAATACAGATCTTATATATATGAGTTTTATGCACCAGATCTTCTTACTTAACAAAATAGCACCAATCTAACTGACGTTCTAGATGAATGAAGATTGTTATGAGGAAACGATGGACGTGCGTACCTGTAAAGTTAGTCTACATATTTTGTACTTAAGTGTTTAATTTTCTCTTCACCTCACTAGCTAGGAAAGGCTTTCTTTCTCATTAGAAATCTGCGCATAAAAGTGTTTTGTTCCGCGCTAGCGTGGAAAAGGTTTTTGAAATTCGAACTCGACGATGGATGGAAAAAAACATAATGACACGTTCAAGTACGCGATTTGTCGTACATTATTTATGTAACATAAATTAGTTGGTATATTTTATCCTTATTATTGTTGACATTAAATTGACAACGATAACTAATTTTGTTTATTAAAACTGATTTGTTATAGTTCAACTGTTTTTCTTTCTGTGTGTATCGCTCGGCAGCAAAGTTGTTGTCTCGCTATGCTCAGGATTCTATTTTTAATCCACGAGCGAAGCGAGTAATGTTGGAACCCTCCGCTTGCTCACGTTTTAATACAAGCACTCGTGTCAAACAACAGCTTTGCAGCCTAGCATAACAAACAACTATTTCTTCTTTATTTATTTTTACGGTGTCTACAACTATTCTTGTAAAATAAGTTATGGACTTGAACGTAGAGAATGGAATGAACGTCATAAAAGATATGAAATGATTTAATGGTTTATTAGCTAACAGTTAAAACCCTAATTGTTCCCATTTATTTCTCACTTAGTCAACAATCCAGTCATCATAGGGTATGTGATCAAGGATCCTCTCGAGGAAGCGCGACATCTTCTCAGCCAGGTCTTTCTTCAGCTCCGGTTTCATTTCCTTCAGGAGCTCCTGGGCGTTCGTGTTAATGAACAGGTTTAGTGCTGCTTCTGTAATCGGAAGAAAGAAACTTGAAAATGCTCTTAGCAAGCACACAAGTAAAGGTGAATAATGTGTCAAGATTTGTACGTTGATGTTCTAGCGGAAACCACCATGGGCGCTTGATGTCCCGGGTTTGATTTACGGTAAGATCAATATAAGAAACAAAAAGTAATCATCAAAGTATGTTTTCAAATCGAGTAATCGCGTAACATAAATAAAAAAATACAATCGAATTGAGGACCCCTCCTTTTTTGAAGTCGGTTAAAAATGTTTCTTGTTTCATTGTTCTGTGTACCTCCGGAGTCATCTTGCTACTTTAGTATTATAGTGTTCACGTATGAAAATTTCCTTCATAAAATAATATAACGTCTAAATTTTGTCAAGAGCAAATTAAATGGTTTATTTTTGCTGTTCTTAAATTGTAAGGCGTTTTTCACGTCCTCAATAAGCAACGAGCACCGACTTTTATTATCTTGAGAGAATTCCCTAGTATGAGACCAGGTTCTATTACGGTAATTGCAACATTTTTGTAGTTTTCTCCTATGTACAGATACCCTGAAACGTCATGGGATATCCAAATCCCGACATCCCCTTTGCTACAGTTGTATTGTCTGATGTAGCCTTTATTCCGTTATAGCTAAAGTTTTTGAAATTTCTTTAGTCTGTAATATAGGGTTGTCCTAATGGCAGTCCGTCAGGACAACCCTGGAAGATAGCTGCAATTACAAACAAAGACAGGTTAATCAAATGCTGGTCAGATCAAATACTAACGCAGCACAGCGTTGCTGTTGTGCAGGTTCTCGACGCCCATTTCGATGTCCTTGACGGAGAAGTCCAGCTTGAGCTGCTGCAGCCGCAGGTAGGTCCGTCCGTCACGTTCGTACGGCTCCCCGCGGAAGTACACCTTCGCCTTTACACCGTCTGTTGATATCATATTCAAGTTTTGTTGAAGGCTGTCTAGTTTCCATTTTGGAAAAAAAGTCCAGGAATTTTAGTTTATTACAATAATGTAGTGTGGTTTAAATAAGCGTTATTTTATGTAGAGAAAGGAAGACATTAATATAAGATGTAACTGTTATAGACCTTCGAGTCCGTGCAAAGTTGAACTTATAATCCTTGGTGAAATTTGTCGTTTATCACACATTCAAAGTTTGCATGTTTTTTTGCTATTCACACACTTCACATGCACAGGCGCAGATTTATTCACTTCTGTTTTAACTGTCATTATTCTAGCATATAATAAAATAATAATAATAATAATAATAACGCACACACTCAACTAAGCCCCGAACTAGGGAAAACCCTGTGTCGCGGGTGCCATGGACACACACATAGATAACAACAAATTACACCCAAACTCACGAGAGAAATAAATGTAGGTCATATAAATATTTCTCCCGGCCGGAATCGATCCTGGGACCTCTGCGTGGCAGTCCGGCATGGTAACCGTTCGGCCACGGAAGCAGTTATCTATATGGTTATTATTATAATATGGTTAACTATAATTAGTTTCATTCTATTTGTATATTTCCTGAATGGTAATTCTTGTGACAATTGTTAAGTTGTTAACACGAATATAATAAAATAAATAACATAAAGTTTTAAATATACTGGAACAGGTTGCGTTAACAAAGAAACCAGACATTGTAAATTTTACTGTATTAGCAAGCAATCATTTTTGCATTTGCTGAGACGCCTACAATGGTTACGGTTCTCAGTCTCTGTTTTTAACTATAGAACTAAAGTATTCACAGAGAATGCATTATACTATATACAAAGACCAGCTTTATTTGTAAATAGTAACTGTAGCTCATGAATAACTACTACCTCAAATGCAGTGCTCACTCACCAAAGTATGAGTACACTTACCATATTCGCCCCAGTAATCTCCGCCGCCCGAGGCGCGCACCAGCAGCAGCACTCCAGAAGAACGGTAGCGTGCGCGGGCGCTGATATGGGGCCCGAACAGCGTCAGTTGAAATTGATGTGTCTCCGGATCTGACCTGCACACAAATAAAAATTCTTTCTTACCTACAAAACTACATGTATATAATCTCAGTACAGAGTACTAAAAAACCGACCTCAAAAGTACGTGGAATTACATCTATTTGCTAAGTTTTATTGAAATATCCTTAAATTCGCCACTATACATAATTTGACACTGGAGATAATAAAAATAGGTTCTCACTACTCAAAGAATATTGAGAGGAAAACGCCTTAAATTGGAGAAGTAGCAAAATTAACCATTAAAATAATTGCTCAAAAAAAAAAATTTGGTCCCCGACAGGATGCCCAACGTGCTGGCAGTCTTCCGCCTTCATATTGCTATTTCGTTGGGCAAAATTGCTGCTAGCTCTTGGGCCTCCGTTTGGTCGATGAAAAAGAGCATCGAGGTCGCAAGGATAGTGCTTCAACCCCAACGAGTGAGAATGTCGAGGTCCTGGTATTTTTACTCTAATCTAATCTTTCCACCAGCTCATCGGTGGACCATCATACTGGTGTTTTGGAAATTGGCCAAGGCCAAAATAGGTACTAGTTCCCGACCACCACTCTATGGACTAAAGGTCATACTGAACTAGACTTCTCCGGATACGTTTTAGTGTAATACTTTAGCTTTAGATTACAGCAAATAGGATGCCACGAGTGCCATTTTAGAATTGTTCAAGAGTCGATAGTACCCCATTTTATTACTATGATGCAGAGTCAAAAAAAATCGGAAATGTATATTTTATGTAGAAGGAAATGGAAGCTAAACATTATAGGTGTTTGAGCCCATGCAAACTTGGACACAAAATCTTTGACAATAACGTCGAAATTTATATTGTAAAACAAAACACTGTAACTTTTAGAGTCTATACTATCTCTGCCCGAATAGTTTTGTAAGTCAATGGCCTGAATTCAAATTTTTCCCGTACTAATACTGTTGTTTCGTTTTGCTTGGGTCGAGAGTGAATTTATTTTTTTACAAACAAAATTAAAGTTATTTGAAAAATAATATCGTCTAATATACGTGTTCTATTTAGTTCAGTTGATATAAAACAAAACATCGCTTTCTGAAAAGTACCTATTGAATAGAACGGTTTTCTTGTAATTTATATACAAGTGTAAATTTGTAATGCCACTTGGAAGGAAAGTACGTTAAATACTGGAGATAGAAATTTTTACTTAAAGGAAACATTCCTTTATTTTTTAAAAGAAATAAAACTGCATTCCTAGATTTTCGAAAATTTCTAGCAACACGCGGGAATCGAACCCGCTTCAATCTGAAAAAATGCAACCTGTACTTTTATTAAATCAATCGATAGGGTTAATTATAAGAATAAAATATCTCTCATAAAATTGGTTAATTAAATCAAACAGTGTCAAGTATCTTGAAATACTGGATCTCTTAAGAAATGAGTTAAATGTTTTATTCGAGGAAGAGCGAAATCGAATAATTCTGCATCAAGATGGCGCTCCAGCCCATAACAGCAGAGTCACTACTGCCTACATTAGTAACCATTTTAATACCTGGATTGGAACAAACGGCACAATGAGATGGCCTGCGAGGTCACCAGATCTCACCCCTTTAGATATTTTTTGTGGGGATTGTTAAAAATCAAATTTACCTTAAATCCTATGCGAGTGTAAACGAGTTGAAGGCTGAGGTTCAGAATACGATTTGTAATACAATTCATCACAACACGTTATTAAAAGTTACTCAAAATGAATTCGTTAAAAGATTAAATTTGTGTATCCAAGAAAATTAACTAAAAAATTAAAATTAAAAACTGCCTTAGATAGTCATTTTTGCTTAGTCAAAGTCAAAGTTTGGTTTATAAATCTCAGCCTAAGACACTTTGTTTATGGAGTTGAGCGTATAGCCATTACACGTTTTTGCAAGAGCACAAACATACTGTGTTAAAACACTCTTTGTTGTACAAATAATCGTGACTAATACTCGAGCAAACCCAGTTGTTCTTACAAACTTAGATAAATATTGATAAAAATAATTTATTTACAAGCTCCATCGACAAAATATGTTTCTCTTCTTTATTCTTTTTAATATTAATTAAGGGGAAGACACTTTCTTCATGTGTTCATAGTATAATTAACACTAGCACTAATATTTATATTATTCACTATAATTTAAGTACATTAACTCAAAAGGTTGTTTTATAATTATGTGCACGGAATGAGGAAGTCTATGTTTGTGAGCTTTGGCATACTTTTTATCACTTTATCTAAGGGATTTGTATCCCAATCGCGTATATGAGTACTATACTAAGGAGTAACTCGATAAATAATTTTTTTTGTGAATATGCCTCTACCATACAGTGACAGTTCTCGGCAGCGAACGCGTAAAATATTTGTATACAAAATGGTGTTTCTTCTTGTGACCGCTAGGGGCACTGTATAATTTTCCATACATACCAAAATCACGATACGTATACTGCGAACAATCGTTAAGTAATTTACGGGATTGCTAGAGACGACTGTCACAGTAAACTCGTGGTAGAGGTTATCGCTTGCAACAGTGAGACAGTCGTAGACAACTGTGCACCATAATCTTTTACGGCGTCAAAGCTGTCCACGCGCGGTGAACATGCCCGAGGAGCAAAAACGCGGGAGCTGTGACAGCGTTATTAAATTGGACACGTAGAGCGTTGCAAAAATGTTTGGGTATATTTTCAACAACAGATCCGCAGAATATAGCAATATGAAATACTTTATTTAAATGAGTTAAGCTGAAAGGTCTTGACTTCATGACATCACCCCAGCTAGCATTATCATGCCTTAGGCGACGGTACACAACGCAATAATAACGCACACACTCAACATAGTCCCGCACTAGGGAAACCCAGTGTCGCGGGTGCCATGGACACACACATAGACAACGACAAATTACACCCAAACTCACGAGAGGAATAAATGTAGGTCACAAAGTAATTGAAAACAACATATAAAGACAGCTTATGGCTGGTTTAAACGAATTAAGTACAAAGTTGTAAGTAAAAGTACTTATCGTGCCACATCTTGGAACATGTTGATCTGTAAATCGGCCATTATGGTTATGAGATTGTCTCACTACCGTCAATGATATTGACTTTCGTGGTTTCTTAATAAATTATTATACTTTTTTTTACTTTCAATACACGGCATGATTTTATTTTATTATCCCGATATTTTTTTTAATGTTCTATAGTCGCAGGTTGATTGGCTCTAAAAACAGATACTAATTTACCCACAAAACGAGCGAGTCTCCAATTAGATTGTATCTCTTTTTGTTAGAAAGGGTGTATCGTAGTAGTAGTCGTCCCACTCAAATTTAAAGAAAATATTGTACCTCGAAGGGCGGGAAGTTTGGGAATTAATCCCACTTTTGTTAACCGATTTCAATAAAGCTTGGCACATAGATGTAATTCCAATAAAAATAAAATGCTACAGTGACCTGGTGCTGATCTAATGATAAAAATTGCAGACAGATGAGAAGAACTCCTCAATAGTGTACAGTATTCATCCTCAGGAAATTTTGAGCGTCGACATTTTTTGGCATGTTCGAGACTCGAGAGTGATGTTTTCATCTCGGGAATATCACATTTGAGATTTAAGTCACTGAATTAAAAAGTATTACAAATCTACTACAAACAGATTTTATTTTATTCTAGTTAGTGGCGCTTGGTTATACATAGAGATTGAAGAACGGTTGTAACAAAATCAGTATTTGTAACTTTAAACGGTCTTTGTTTGTTACGTAACAACTCTAAAAATTTAAATAATACTTTTATGAATAATTTTTGATTTTACGAGCATGATGTGAGTTAGTAAAGAATTTAATTAACACATCATGTTTTAACTGCCTAAATGCTTTTATGTATTGAAACCTACTTTTGAAGTAAGACTACTCGTTTCGAAAACGAAAGTCTCGTTTTTCTCGACATTTTCGAGACCGCACTGACGATATTTTTTTCCCGGGATGCGGAAATGCAGCGAGATTGAAAGCCTGCAGTTACCTTATATATGAGTAAACATGATTCGTTTTGTCGAGGACTTCCACACGCGTTTTAGTTATCGTTGAGGAGACCATGGTAACGAATACAGCGAAATCAGGTAAGTAAACTTTTTAACAAACTATACGCACGATAAGCTCGAATCTAAACTTCATAGTTTAGCCAACAGGTGCAAAGTTGTGTGTCTATTGGTTTTCTACAGAATATATTTCGGTGAGTGTGCCCATGAGATCCATTAGCTCATCCCGCCCGCCCCCTTTTACCGTCGGACTTCCAGACGTACGGCGCGGGATATCATCCTTACTTGGTCGATATTCCCTTCGAGCGTACTATGCGCTTTTCATCATCTTTTATTATACGCACAGCCCAGGAATGGAATTCCCTGCCTGCAACTGTGTTTCCGAACACATACAACCCAGGTATCTTTAAGGTGAATAGGCATCTCCTAGGCGAGCTCTTTCCATCGTAGATTCTATCTTTGCTCCAGAGCTAGGTAGTGATTAAGAACAAATCCATTTAATTAAAAAAAATACACTCTGTTTTCTACACGCTAAAGTCGAACCATTTTTGTTTTTGTTATTGCTATTGTAAGCACTAAACTTTTAAGCAGATTTTGAATGTGTATTCAAGAGACGTGTATATTCATCAATCAGATGAAGAAACAAGCTCAAATGTTACAGCTCATAAAACTACAAGTTAATTGGTCACAAATGGGAAACGGCAAAAAGCAATGACACATCCGTGCGTCTCTGTCATAGTCATAAGTTTTAATGAATCGTGACAAGAATACATTAGCGGTGTTGTATGATGGTCGTGTGAATTCCCTATTATTGTTTTATAGCTATACTCTTTTGTCTTGAGTTGTAAAGCATTTAACACTTGAAAATATTGTCGTTTGTTTAATTATTGAATACTTTGTATTGGTGTACTTTGGAACAATACATAAATAAAAATCTACACGTGTAGTTTTTTTCAAAGTAAATGAACTTACTCTTTACCACTACCTAGCTCTGGAGAAAAGATGGATCTATGATGGAACGAGGCAGAAGATGCCTATGCAGTCGCCGCTTAAAGATACTCGAGTTGTATGTGCTCGGAAACAGCCAGCAAGGAATTCCATTATTGGGTTAAATAATAGAAACTACATGAAATAAATTTGTTCGTGAATGGTTGTTATTTTGTAGATGTCGCCTTATTATAGACCAAGAAGAGCACTGTTGTGTAATTTTCTGAAAAATTTATATAGTGGTTATTTATCCGAAAAATAGGAAAAATGAAAAAAAATATTATTGAAGGCTCATATTTATGTTCTTCGCTTAGTAAATATAATAAAAGCAAGTTTTTTTTAGAAAAACGAGATTTAAAATGATTGGACAACAGCGAAAATAACCTTTTTCTTGATCCATCGTATTCGTTCAGTAATTTCAACTTTTGATAGGTGTTAGCTGTCAACAAATACGATTTTTTCAAAATGGAAATTTTTCCATGATCCCACACTAACCAAGAGTGAGATCTTGTTGGTAGTGAAGAAGGAAAAAATAGAAAAATGTCATCTTTTTTCCCAACAGGAAATCCCGTAAAACCTACATAAAATCGTACAAAGATCTAGTCTTCGTCCTAAGAACGTAGCGTGACAAACGTAACCACAATTATAGATCCTGATAGTCTCCGTGTTACGTCAATTTACGTAACAATTGTACTATCTCTGACCATCTAATCGAGATATCCGTTATCTACTTGGAGACAATAGGGTGAAGGAGAAGACCGCAAACAGATCCGTTAGAGTCTAATTACGTAGATATTTAGTCATTGCGCAAGTATATAGATAAACAGGTTTATGTAATAAAGATAATAACAGTAGACCTCTGTGTGAAAGAGTTCGTTTAGGGAAGCGCTGTCATTATACCTATTTCCACTGCCACGCAGTAATGTGAGCATTACTGCGTTCCGGTTTTGAAATGCACTACAGCACCCAGTGCTGTAGTAATGTACAGTTCCATGGGACTTGTCAGCTTTTTGTCTCAGTTCTTTGCGATTAAAGCTCTGAGTGACACTGCAACTGTCGTGGCGTGTTACTTACTACCAGGTGAACGACTTGCTCATCCCATTACTTTTTTTTATAATATCAAGAGACGGGACGAACAAGTCGTGCGCCTGATGGTAAGCTGCACGGCTTAACAACACGTCCATAACATCTGAGGGGCACTGCCATTGCGTCTGTCGCCTTGAGACATAAGTTGACAAGTCCAATGTGCGTGTAATTTCTTCTTAGATGTCAGAGTCTGTTATAGGCCTACCTGACGTTAGTGATGGTCATGTTGGATACTCCAGTGGCGTGGATGTCTTTGAAGGTGGCTCGGTAGCCGTCAGGCCCGCCACCCAGCGCAATGGAGAGCTCGTCGATTATTATCGGCTCCGCCTGGAAATACACGAAGACAGTCGGTTGAGAAGATTTGTAGTCTGATAGAAGGGTGCACGAAAGTAGCCTACACGACGTACCGTTCTTTTCCATTCCTTTGTAATAATGTTAACAATCAATTAAACTAAACATTTCCAAGGAATGACGCTCCTGTGCACGGCACTGGATTAAATTTTCTGCCTTTGACTTTGACATAGTTGTAGAGGGCGTTGAAATTTTGTTATCTTACCTAGAGCCAGAAAGTTTGGGAACCTATGGACTAGGTGAAAACTAAAATTTTCTTTTCTTTTTGACTTAAAAAAAGGGGGAGATTCTCAATTGCAGTCAATTTATATATAATATTTTTTGTGTACGTTACGCGATAATTTGTCAACCGATTTTGATGATTCTTTTGTTGTTGGAAAGAGTGTACCTCAGTATTGGTTCCGTTTAAATTTGAAAAAATATTCCACCTCTAAGGGTGGCAAAAACGATTTCAATAAAACTTGACAAATAGATTAATTCCACGAAATTTTGAGGTCGTTTTTTTTTTAAAAGTTATTTATTTTTATATACTTAATTAATAATTTTTTTTTTATATAATTAATCAAGTGCTTAACGAAGTGGAAAAACCACAATTACACACGTTTAATATATGCTTAATATAATAAGAATAAAAAAGAAAATATTATCGGGCAACAATACACGAACCAATTTATTTTAAAAAAATATTGAAATATTTTTAAAGTAAATAATTTTAGTTTCTGTTGACCATTTAACTTTTTAGTATGATTGGAATCATCATTTCATATTACAGTCGAACGTTTTTTACACCTAGGTAGTAAGTATTTAACTAAAGAATAAACATTTACGAAATTTATTTTCATAGTTATAAAATTGAGGTTAAGGACGCTTGCTGATTTTCGGGTCCTGATTTTGTGGTTATAACCTTTAAATGACTAATAAATGACAAACTTAGACAAATTTTAATAACTCCGATAAGCGAAAAGCTAGATGTTAGCTTCTTGATATCCAATTCCGGTTCTTCATATACTTCTGAATACACTCGAAATTGGGTTTATTTTTCGATAATAAGTAAGCTACCGATAATTTATTTTATACAACGTGGCTTATTATATTTCTCTGTCATTCTCTCTTGCACGCTGATGCCCGCTTATAACCTTAGCTCTCACTGCCTTGGATTGGCTGGAAGTGATCTATTTTAGAGACAAGACCACCTTTGCTCACTTGGGTTCAATTAATATTTCTGTTGTATTTATTTAATAGTATAATATACATATTGGTCATTGGCAATTATTAATAACAAAGATCACAAAACAAATCTCCTTCAATCTGTCAGGACTAGAACCTGTGCCTGTTTTGTCAATCTAGGGCAACCGCTCTTCCAACTGAGTTCCAGGCCGAGTTCGCAGACTTCATGTATTTCTCTATGCGCTTGTTAGAGATGTTTGTTTTTGGTTTTTAACGGCTTTTTTTGTCGTAGCGCACCCGTGAGAAATCTATGAAAGTTTTTCTTCACTCAACCCACAAACCACATAAATACTAGTCAACATTTACAGCTAACAGAGGTTGACAGTAGATGTCGCTGTTAAGATTTGTAATATTGATTTTTAATGAATAGTGGTTCTCTGTTTTTCGTCATGTCGTACAAACACACACTAGTCATGCTGGGTCTGTAATTAACAAATTAAGTAATTGGTCCTACTGGGAATTGAATACTTAGATTGCTAACTGGAACACCGAAGTCATGTCAAGAAAAACTGGAGTAGAACAAAGTCTCAGACCAGTTTCGGCATAAGATGGCGATTCATTGGTAGGTGATTGTAATATATCTATTTCGAGTTAAGCTGTCTACCGTTGGTCTACTCCAGAGGTGGTCAAACTTTTTACATTATTTTTTTAGAATTTAAAAAAAGATGCATTTTCTTTTGAAATATTTTTTCATTGTTGTGTAGTGTAATGTTATTTTGTGAGTATGTTTAACATTATGTATGTTTTTGTCTGCTGATATAGACTAGACTATCAAAATACATTTCCGAGGGCTATACACTCCTACTTTAGAAGAACGTTGGTAGGCCGCATTAAAGCCCTTCTCGGGTCACAGTTGGTCCATTGGTCTAGTCCAATATTTGATTCATGTAGAAATAAAAGGTGGATTCTTTGCTACATGCCTACATAACGACTACGACGGTCTCTCGAGTATACACACTTTAGTCTAAGCATGCAATGGTACCTCTTCAATGCCGAACTCTGGCGCTCCACCTTTCAGGTATTCAACGAGAGTGTTAAAGCTGCGCAGGAGACAAGCATCCACGTTGGGGTCGCTTTTAGAGCATCGCCCGCCGAACATATCTGCAAACAAATACAACTTGGTCAATATTTATAAAGCTACAGTCCCATTCTTCTTCTTATCACACGTTCGTAGGATGTATAGGTACAGCAATGGTAAGTCATGCGGGGAGGCTCTTTTCATGCACTCGTACAGTACAGTCCCATTGATTTTTCGCTTTTTATTATTATTATTATTACTATTATGACACTCTTGGTTGTAGATGGGAACTTTCAGATTTCGATTTTCAAGTAATTAATAGATTCAGGCGTTATTTTGCGGAAGTCCATGTTAATAAAATTGGAAGTAAATTAATTTGCTGCTCCGTGAACCCAGTGAAGGTTAGATCGTGCAAAATAGCTGCGCTTGTGTTGAATAATTTTTTTTCATGCAGTTAATTATCGCACCCTTCCTCCGCGGAGGGAGGGTGGGATAATTATATATTATTTATTATATTATAGTGTATAATTAATTTACTTTTTAATGACTATTCTAAATTATTTCTGGTCATTCTTCATTTCGGGTGTTCTGGGTAGTGCTACGGAATTAATTTCTTTGATTTTACAGGGAATTCCCGAGTTTGAGATTACAAGACGTGCGCCTGATGGTAAGCTACATGCCTGTCCATAACAGTTGCAGTGCCACTCAGCGCTTTAAATGGCAAAGATCTGAGGGGCACTGCCACTAAACCCGTCACCCTGAAACATAAGTTGGCAAGTCCCATGTGCCTGTAGTTTTACCAGCACCCTTACCCTTCAAAACCGGAATACAGTAATGCGACATTACTGCCTGGCGGCAGAAATAGGTAAGGTGGCAGCACTTCCCTGGACGAACTCTTTCACAAGGAGCTGTACTGCTACGAATAATAAACCATAAATATTTAAATCATAAAGCTGAAATTCTTTTACACTTTTCTGTTGAATGCGTAAAAAGGCTCTCAAAACGAAAAGGTCGGCTAGAGGGTTAAGTATGTTAAGGCATCGACTGTCCCTGTACCAAAAGCTTTTAGATTACAGAACACTAAATAACGTAACCCACAATTTTCACAAGTAATTTCTCGTCTTCGTCTCATAACTAGGTGCTTTTCCCGTACAAAGAGCATTGCTGCTATGTATATTTATGCCTTAGTCAGTTTCTACGACACACACATGTGGTTGATGCTATTCCTACCCGGAATCACACACGAAACAATGGCTTGATAATTCTAATCACATTAATAATTTATGTTGTATTGAATAGTACACTTCCTCATTATCTGTCTATATTTATGTTGATGACTAACAAACCGGTGACAAGAATTCGTCAGCTGTTGTAGCTTTCTTCGGCACACAATTAGTATGCTGGTCTCGCTTCACGCATAACGGTAGCTTTAGTTGCGCCCGCGCAGCGGTCGATAGAGAATACAATACATAAGGTGGTGTATACACAGGATTAGTATTGCCGTACAATTTCGCTGAACCTCACTATGTTTAAAAATAAAAAAATTGCGTTTAGATGGGTACTTATATTGCAAAGAAACGTATTTGAATTTATACATAATAACTCACAAACACAAACCTCTTTTATGCTACACTATCATAGGACCTATTGTCGCCCATACCGGAGGAGAGAACGCGTGTTTTAACACTAATAGGAACCATTACTTTCACAAAGCGAGAAATCAAAATAACGAAAATAGGTTATTGAAACACTTTTTTTACGATACGAAAACCGCACACGGACCGGTCCACCTTAGGAACAATTACCGCTATTTAAAAGACATTTATTATAGCGAGGTGTCCTTAATATTGCTAATGAGTGGCCGCGGCCATCTTTTATGGCCCTGAATCTCGAAAATAGCGTACTGATTTGCTGTAGAACTAGGTACAGCGACTCTATTCTTGACACTTTGATTGAGATTTTTTATTTATTAAAACATACAAAATTTTATTCAATTTAAGTAATACGCTTTTTTCATCATCATGATCGGCAATGTGGGGACATCACATGTTTTCGTAAGTTTGTGAATCTTCTCCGATGTGCGGGTTTCATAAAGATGAAACCCTTCAACGTTAGCACGAGTATTGTTGCCAACGATATCTATGTACAAGTATTTGATTGCTACTAAATATTCACAAAATTTATGTAACTTAAAAATAAAGTCATACCTTCATGCCACCACATTGATACCACTATACGTCTGGCGCACCCTGGCCAACAATCGGCGACCACTTTATAGCGATTGGCAAATCCTCTAACCGCGATGGCAAGTTTATAGTGTCATCGATACGATAAAAAGAAACTACCACAGAAATTAGGATCGCCGCTCAATCTTTCAATTGAGAAACAACTATTTTCTACTGGTCTGCCATCACTCGCAATAAATATAATTAGATAATTTTAAGTAATCATTTTGTAATTTTATCGACGATAACAATTAAGTGCTCAGACTATGTTGGGAATTTCCTATACTATGTGTACCAGGTAACGAAATTAAATTCGCGGCACTACGCAGAATACCCAGACCAGAAACACTTCAAGAAAGTTAATTTCCTCCTTTTCACACAGCGCCCACAGCACATACCATTGGTCCACCGAGGTTGTCAAATGAATGACATGGTGGTATGCATTATAGTCACTAAGCCAGATCATTATGGACATTTTTAAAGACTTTCTCATGTCCTAGAAAATATGCCGTGAATGTAACGTTGACACAATCGATGACAAAGTAGGTAACACCAGATAAGCGTACTTGAAGAAAAAAGCACCTTACAACTAATTAACTCGTCTCCCTCTGCTTTAGAGGATATGTGAAAAGTTTTGGATCAGCTCAGCAAATATTTTTTGGTTCAATTTTTGTTGCCCACCAAAAAATATGCAAATGCAATATCTATGTGTGACTACAGCTTAAAATGAACGATAGGTATAAGCAATACAGTGTTTTAGAGGCCTTCGAATTGGTGATTTTCGCGCGGCTTTGTTTGTAAGATATTCGTGAGAGAATGCACGGTGTCGAATAGGAGGTACCTAACACTTTATATGTACATATGGGTAAGACATACTGGGTATAGTTATGTACGTGCGAAATCAAGAATTTATACACGTATCACAGGTTAGCTGTAACAACTTACACCCAAACTCACGAGAGATAAATGTAGGCAATACAAATATTTCTCCCGGCTCGGGAATAGAATCTGGGACCTCTGAGTGGCGGTCCAGTATGGTAACGGTAACCTTTCGGCCACGGAGTCAGTTAGTAATAGTATGAAAGTACTTGAGTCAGAAGTCACTGTTCTTCCAAACCGGGACAATTATGACTAAATTAAGTGCTGATCTTATTATGTAGAATAATGTGTGTGTGCGTGCGTGCGTGCGTGCGTGTGCGTGTGCGTGTGCGCGCGCGTGTGTGTGTGTGTGTGTGTGTGTGTGTGTGTTTGTTTGCGTGCGTGTGTGTGCGCGCGCGCGCGCGCGCGCGCGTGTGTGTGTGTGTGTGTGTGTGTGTGTGTGTATGTATGTGTGTGTATGTATGTGTGTGTGTGTGAGTGTGTGAGAAGTATTCTGAGTTAACGTTGTCCCTATTTTAGCGAAGTTAGGCTCGTTATTCTTCCAACTGATGCATGGTATGTTAAAGTTATCCAGAACGTGAAAGAAATTATCTTAACCATTACGGGTTATGGCAAAATTTTAGTTGTGCTGCGTGTTATGCTGTTTGCCGTGAATAAAGTAGACGAGACACAATGTGTAAAAGACATTGCTCTTTTGTTACGAGAGCGAATCGACCAATAGGTAAGGACAGTATGTAGGTATTACTTGCTTTTATGAAAGAAGCCTGAATATTTAAAATTTGAAAATATAATTTAGTATTTTACGTGAAAAGATCATTCCTAATTCAACTTTATAAAAAAAAATGTAATTAATGGTAATGGTAAATTATTAATATATTTGAATAAGGAGTCATTTTTTATTTTTTAATAATATATGGATGACGCAATTGTAATTTTTATTACCATTATTCTTAAAAAGTATATAATTCATGAAACTATGCTTACGATTTAAATATCATATATTCGTTATTTTGAATAAATCTAACGTTTCGGGTACTTTACAGATCCTATGGTCAAGGTAAGTCTGCTGTAATATACTTAATTTTGGATCAGACAAAATAGTTTCATTTGCAATGTGTAGCACTCGAGAAAAACTAATATTTCACGTCGTGCACGTGATTGTGACACATACCCTATATTTCTCTCTCGGTTTGATTTTTCTAGCCGCTTCGAGCTTAACGCATTAAAATAATTGCAGAAACTTTTACGGTCACGACGTACATTAAAGTGCGGTTTGTTGAACGCACTTGTGAAATCTTAGGGCTTATCTAATTATGATAAGGTCGATATTTTTCTTATTATTTGTTGCTGTAATATATTATTACTTCAAAATGATGGTGTAGAATTACGCAGTGATTTGTAATGGGAAAAATCATTACAAATTCCCTAAACGCCATTTGAAGTCACATAAAAAACGAATTACTGTGTTAAAACGTTTTCATTTCGTAATCGGATTTGGTCAACAGAAATATGAACAGAAAAATACCTACTCACTACACTTGACTCTCGAGTTTCTGAAGACGCCATTCAACATTTTTGTTTTATTTACTGAACTTCGGCTACGAGGTAGTCAGCTTAAAAAAAATAAAAAATAAAACTGAATATAGAAAGTAAACGATTGAACCCAAAAACAAACAAATAGATTTAATTTCTGTCAGGAAAGTTACTGCCTCCGCGGCCGAACGGTAACTTTACTGATTTGCCACGTAGAGGTCCCGGGTTCGATTCGCGGGCCGGGAGAAATATTTGTATGGCCTATATTTATTTCTCTCATGAGTTTGGGTTTTGAGTTTGGGTCAAAGGATTGATCAGTTAGGGTCTGCGTTGTCGTGTCTAACTAATATCATTGTGCGTTTTGAGGTGGTTCTTTCATACATTTACATTACACGAGGAAAAATCTCAACACGGTAAAATATTATTCAGTCTACATATTTTAAAAA